GAAGGAAGGAAGGAAGGAAGGAAGGAAGGAAGGAAGGAAGGAAGGAAAAGTAGACCACCAGGAGGGAGAGAGGAAAGCAGGCAGGCAGGCAGCCAGGAGGGAGGGAGGGAGGTGAAAAGGAAGGAAGGGAGGAAGGAAGGAAGGAAGGAAGGAAGAAACTACCATAAGGGGAGGGGCGGAAAGGGAGACTTTATACAAAAACCAACAAAATAAATAAACAAGATATTTTTAAACCTATGTAGAAAAAAGACACAAACATATTCATCATCCCTTCTAGTTGGGTACTGATAAATATATTGCAGCAATTTTAATTTTCTATCCTCCGCGGAGCAGATCCTCCTCCTCCTCCTTCTCTTACTCTCCTTCTCCTCCTCCTCTCCAGCTGTTTTTCTTTCTCTCTTCCCCCTCCCTCCCTCCTCCCCCTCCCTCCTCCTCCTCCTCTTTCCCCTTCTTCTTTTCCTCTCCTTTTCTCCTCCTCCTCCCCACAAATCACATTCCCCTGTAAAACTGATGACGCTCCCTAGTTGGGTCATGAAATGTCTGCAAGAAAACAATCTCACAGAGCAACAAGGATCCCACGGTCCCGCTCCTCCTCCTCTCTGCAAACTCCCCTCCATTCTAGCACTGATGATGTTTCCTAGTTGGATAATGAAACATCTTGCAAGAAAACCACCAAGCTTAGAGAGCATTAAGGACCCCACAGTCCTCCTCCTCCTCCTCCTTCTCCTCCTCTTCGCAAACCTTACCCACTTCTAGCACTGATGATGTTTCCTAGTTGGGTCATTAAACATCTGCAAGAAAGCAACCAAGCTTAGAGAGCATTAAGGACCCCAAAGTCTTCCTCCTCCTCCTCCTCCTCCTCCTCCTCCTCCTCCTCCTCCTCCTCTTCACAAACCTTACCCCCTTCTAGCATTGATGATGTTCCCTAGTTGGGTCATGAAAGTCTGCAATAAAGCAACCAAGCTCAGAGAACACCAAGGACCCCACAGTTCTTCTCCTCCTCCTCCTCCTCTTCACAAACCTTACCCCCTTCTAGCACTGATGATGTTCCCTAGTTGGGTCATTAAACGTCTGCAAGAAAACCACCAAGCTTAGAGAGCATTAAGGACCCCACAGTCTTCCTCCTCCTCCTCCTCTTCCTCCTCCTCCTCCTCCTTCTCCTCCTCTTCACAAACCTTACCCCCTTCTAGCACTGATGATGTTCCCTAGTTGGGTCATGAAACGTCTGCAAGAAAGCAACCAAGCTCAGAGAACACCAAGGACCCCACAGTCGTCTTCCTCCTCTTCCTCCTCCTCCTCCTCCCCCCACTTACCGGTTTCATGATCCAGGTGATGCCCGGATTCTTCCGAAACTCCTCCACAAACAGGTGATACTCGGAGGGCATCTCAAAGGTCTTGGGGAAGAAGTCACACTTCATGGCCTCCAGCTTTCCAGATTCCCTCTCCAGCTGTTTCCGGAGGCGCTTGAGGTTTTTCACGGTGTAGTTTTTCCGAGTCAGCTGCCCAGGGCGAGAAGGGTAGGAGAACAGCGTCAGCCAAGGGTGCCCCGGATCAGGCCCCTGGATGCCTCCCTTGGCTCAGAATTGGCCCTCAGAGGAAGCTCCTCCAACACCATCTAGGCCTCCAGATAAGACTTGACAAACAATGCACGCTTTGCTTCCAGCAAGGTGCTGTGCGAAAACGCCCCTTTTAAAATCCTGTTTTCCCAGCTGCAGGTAATGAAGGGAATCAGGGCCCTTTTCTCCCCCGTAAGCCACTTTGCTCCCTTCTCCGTTCCTCCCTGTGTGCCCGAGGATGAAGAGGTGGTGGTCGTGGGTCTTCCTCTGAATGCCCAGCCGGACTGTGCCCTTCCCCAGTTTCCTCCACAGCCACCAGAGCCACACTCCCACAGGACAAGAAGCAATGAATGGAAACTAACCAAGGTGAGAAGCAACCTGGAATTCAGGCAAAAAATTCCTGACAGTGAGAACAATTAACTTGCCATCAAAAGTTGTGGGTGCTCCATCCCTGGAGGCTTTCAAGAGGAGACTGAGAAGCCCCTAGTCTGAAATGGGTCTAGGATCTCCTGCCTTGGGCAGGGGGTTGGACTAGAAGACCTCTAAGGTCCCTTCCTACTCTATTATTTTTTTTTACATACAACATAGCATCAGTTGCCGAAGGAGGTCATGATGGAGGTAGTCTTCCAAGACACCCCTAAGGAACCATGTCCTGCATATTCTGGACCAACCAGCTCACCTGTCACCTGCCCCAACCTTCTCCCTGCACAGGTTTGCCCACCTCGTAATGGTTGCGGAAGTGGCTGATGCGGACGTGCTCGTCCATGTAGGTGTGGTCGAAGTTCTCCTGCAGCCACCGGACGTCGCACCAGTAGAAGTCCCACTCGCCCTCACTGGGGATGAAGGCCAAACAGAAAGAGGCGGGGGTGTCAGCCAGCAGCTCTTTTTAGCTTTCTCAAGGTGGTTGCGACACCCCCCCCCCAGATACCCCAAATCTTCATCATCTTCTTCATTTAACGACCCCAAAATCCCTTGTGGGGTAGAGTCTGGGCAATTGAATGAAGCTAGCAGAGTGTTCTTTTAATGGCCGGATGCTCTTCCTGTCACCAACGTGGAGTTCTGTTCAACAGATATATTCTCAGTGTGGCTGTCAGGGATCCGACGGATGCCCTAATTAAACCATGACCCATGAGCCAAGTTTCAAAAAAAAAAATCCAGTTATTTATGAGGAGCAACATGTCGGCACGTACCCAAAGGTAGTCAGCTCTGCCTCACGTAATTTACGGCCCACCTACGACCCTGTTTCCCCCCTCCCCCTCCAGGGTGCGTCATAAATCACATTCTCCAACCGGAGCACTTTCCTGGGATGTAGAGATCACGCCTCTTCAGTTGGTCCCGGTAGCCTGGGATACAACCTTGAAGAAGGTATGTGTGGAATGTGCTTCTAGCCCTGTGATGGCGAACCTGTGGCACGCGTGTCACAGGTGGCACGCAGAGCCATTTGCAGAGCCGGCACGCGAGCTACAGGCAAGGTTACCTCACTGCGCATGCGTGCGCCTCACAGCTGATTTTCAGCAGGTTTGAGGCCTTTTTTGGCCTCCCAGAGGCTCGAGGTAGGTTTCTGCAGGCTTCTGCAGGCCGAAAACTAGGCCCGTTTCGTCACTTCCGGTATTTCCGAGAATACCGGAAGTGACGAAACGGGCCTAGTTTTCGGCCTCCAAAGCCTGCAGAAGCCTTCCTCAAGCCTCTGGGAGGCCAAAAAAGGCCTCAAACCGGCCGAAAATTAGCTGTGAGGTGCAGTGCAGGTAAGGGGGCAGCGGGGTGGGTGGGGTGGGAATTGCGCATGCATGTATGGGGTTTTTTTTCGCGCATTGCCTTCTGGATGCTGGCACGCAAGCGTAAGCGTGCGAGCGCACGCACAATTTTTAGCACAAGAGCCCCAAAAAGGTCAGGCACCACTGTTCCAGCCTCTACCCGGGATTGAACTCACATCCTCCTGATGGTGAGGCAGGAGCTCCACCTTCAGGCCATTGCACCACCTTGGGCACCCAAAGTGTTGTTCTAAAAATGCTACAGGCCCCAGAACCTCCCAGCATGGGCTGATGGGGAACCCCGGAAGTGTGAGACAGCATCATTATAGGGGAACTGGATTTTTTTTTGAAACAGCGAGCAGAGGCTAGAGAATTCTGGGAGTTGAAGTCCACCCCGCACCGTCAAGCCCCAGGCTGATGTCCAAAGGCAAAGGTGTTTGCGTTAGCTGTGATTTCTTGAATGCCAACACTGATAAGCCCAACGTTGTTTAAAATGGACACCTGAAGCGAAATGGGGCGTTAATAAGCAACTGGGAAGTATATTCCATTTTTATTAGCAGGTGGCGGTGGGGCTCAACTCCCAGCACGAGAAAGTGAGGGCTTCGTCGTTTTCTTGCAGGCATTTCACAACCCAGCTAGGTAGTATCATCAGTTTTGGAAAGGAGTGGGATTTGCAGGGAGGAGGGGGGGAGGGGGAGGAGGAGGACAAAGGCTGTGGGCTTCTTGATGCTCTCTCCTGCAGACATTTCATGACCCAACCAGGTAACATCATCAGTGCTAAAAGGGAGTGGGTTTGTTCCCTGTTTATACACCAGAGGCTTTAAATATAAACAGAGAGCAAACCCACTCCCTTCCAGGCCTGATGATGTTACCTACTTGGGTAATGAAATGTCTGCAACAAAACAACCAAGCTCAGAGACCAACAAGGACCCCAAAGTCCTCCTCCTCCTCCTCCTCCTCCTCCTCCTCGTCCCCACCTCCCAAACTACTCCTTTCTAGCACTGATGAAGTTACCAAGGTGGGTAATAAAATGTCTGTATAACACCAAGCTCAGAGACCAGCAAGGACCCCATAGTTCTGCCCCTCCCCCTCCCTAACTCCCCTTCCTTCTAGCATTGATGATGTTACCTACTTGAGCCATGAAATGTCTGCAAGAAAACTACTAAGCCCAGAGAGCACCAGGGACCTCTCATTTGAACCCTAAGCTACTAAATAATCTCCTCTGTCGCAGGAATCTCCTAAACTTTGATCCAAAGGAGCATTTGTCTGAAGTGGTGTAGGGTGTCCTGCCTAGGCAGGGGGTTGGACTTGTTGGAAATGTCCCTTCCAACTCTGTTATTCTACTCTATTCTAGCTCTAATCCCTGGTTTCAGACCTTGTTGATGACCCCCACTATTTCAAGGACCTTGGAACACTCATCTCTAATGATCTAAGTGCTAGAGCCCACTGTAACTACATAGCCAAAAAGGCATTAAGAGTTGTTAACCTAATCCTACATATCTTCTTCTCTGGTAATATCACACTACTAACTAGACCATAGAAAACATTTGCTAGACCAATACTCGAATAAAGCTCATCAGTCTGGAACCCACATTACGTATCTGATATTAGCACAGTGGAGAAAGTCCAGAAATATTTCACAAGAAGAGTTCTCCGCTGCTCTACTCATTGCAGAAGACCTTATGCCACCAGACTCGAAATTCTAGACCTAGAAAACCTACAACTATGCCGCCTTCGGTCCGATCTAAGTATAGTATATAAAATCATACATTGCAATGTCCTACCTGCAAATGAATACTTCAGCTTCAACCATAACAACACTGGAGCAAACAATAGATACAAACTCAAGGTTATTCGCACCAAACTTGACTGCAGGAAATATGACTTCAGCAACAGAGGGGTCAATGTCTGGAATACTCGACCTGACTCTGTGGTTTCTTCCCCAAACCCCCAAAACTTCAACCTTAGACTGTCTACTATTGACCTCACCCCTTTCCTAAGAGGTCTGTAAAGAGGCCTGCATAAGCGCACCAAGGTGCCTTAGGGAAGGAGAGAAAACGTCTTCTCGGGCCCTGCTAGCTATTATTGTCTCCCTCATAAAATAAATATAATATATGTATAAATCTCACTCTTTCACTTCCACCCATCCAGGTCGCTGCTGAAGGACGTCTAAGATGGTGTTGGTGAGGGCACACTTGAATCGGATGGAAGCTCGGGGTTCCCTGTTTAAAAAATATTAAATTGAATTAAATTAAATTAAAAATCCCTTTTCTTTCACGAGATAGCAAACACACTATATAGAATAGAATAGAATTCTTTATTGGCCAAGGGTGATAGGACACACAAGGAATTTGTCTTTGGTGCAAATGCTCTCTGTGTACATAAAAAGAATAGATACATCCGTCAAGAGTCAAGAATCATCAGGTACAACACTTAATGATAGTCATAGGGTACAATAAGAATAGAATAGAATAGAATAGAATAGAATAGAATAGAATAGAATAGAATAGAATAGAATAGAATAGAATAGAATAGGAATGGAACGGAAAGGAAAGGAATAGGA